TTTTATATCTGACTCACCAACCATTACCTACAGAAGAGTTCCTTCTGTGGGTGATAGATTGGTCCATAGTGAATTCAAAGGTGTGACTAATGGGGCTTATAAGTTTGCTACTGCTTTTATTGACAGAGGATTGAATGTGAGTGTTCTCCAGCATCAGCCTATTGTATATTTGTTACTCTTGTGTATTGGATATCCTTACATAAGTTTTCTTACAATTGTATTATAGATTTGTTATAACCTCCTCTCACCCTGAAGAAGGAAATACTGTTTCCAAAACGCATTGGGATTTACCTGTTGATCACTGACACTTATCTAGCTATAATCTTGCTGGCAGTCTTCTTCTTCAATGTTACACAGATTGGTAGGGTATTTGTATCTTTACATTGTACTATGTTCCAATTTTATGTAACTTAACTATGGCATTATAATATTGACTTATTACCTTTTTATATTGTTTGCAATAAAGATTGGCATTTCCCATTTACATATTTGTACCCTTGACTTTGCCCGAAAAGTTCTGTGGGGGGGTTTCTTTTTCGTTTGTCATATTACATTTTGGGATGTTGGCAGAATACTGTATTTGAACATTTCACCATGTACCACTTATTGATCTCACTCTTCCCCCTCAGATTCACCAGCCAACACTTTGTACAGATGGTAGTTTTTAATCCTTCCTGTCACTGACAGCTCAGGTCTCCACTAACAAATCAGGGACCAATCAGTATGGTTTTTGATCATATGACTACTATGACGTCGATGTGATAGCGACCACATGCAAGCTACAGAATTCAGTGAGAAAAATTAAAGCCTTCTTCTACAGGTGAACACTCATTTTGGTACTCAAACTAGTAATAATTTTTTGTGCCAGCTGGGAAATGCTTAGGGGAATTTTGTGCCGGAGGATATTTGTGCCAGAGGGATGCTTAGTGTTGAGGGAATGTTGATAGCTTGGGAGGGATGCTTTATTGCTTAGGACAGTGTTTGTGCTTGGAGGGATTATTTTGCCTTGGGTGCATTTTTTGTTGGGGAAACATTTGTGGGGGGCTTATTAGGGGGATTTGTTTCTTGGTTGAAGGCTACCTTTTTGCTTGAGGATCTTTGATTTTTTTTTTTGGGGGGGGGAGGGTTATGCTCAAGGGGAGTTTCTCTTGGGAGGGGGGAGTTTTCTTTGCAGGGGGAGACATTTTTCTTGGGAGTGGGGAATTTTATATTGTACACTACATACCCCTGTCCAAAGTGTTCTTTGCCTTACTGACTGTTACTGTCCAGTACCAGGCTGGTGGTGTGTCCATGACAACCTGGACCCAGAAAATGTGTTAAATTATGCCAAAATACCTTCAATCCTGATTAATGACAACATCAAGTGGTAGAAAAGCAATAGTGAATGGGACCGCTCTAGATTGAAGTTGAATACTGCTGGAGAAGCTGTTTTTTGTAAGGGAGTAACTCCACTTTTTTTAAACAAATCTGCTCTGGATGATTAATGTACATTGCGGGGAATTTACCACTTTGTAGAAGAGACCTACCTGTTTCTGTTCTGAAGAAAAAAATACAAATTCCACTATGTCCTTGGAATAAAGCTTTCTGAATTATGTACTTCCAATGTAATAATGAGGAAAGTTGCAGTGTCTGCATTCCTTTAGAAGTAATTAACCCATAGGGAGTATCTCAACAAAAATATATTTCCTATTACAGACGATGCCTCAAATTTTACTTGTATCTTAGTGCAGACTTTTAAAAAAATCAGTAAGTTAACCACATTCGGGCCACCCGCTCGTAATGTTGTCAACACAGGTGGATGTGCAACCCTACCCCCCCCACATCTGCTGTGTCCACTGGACACAGCAGAATGAGAATCCCGGTAATCGGCACCCGGTGATCACGTGTTCGCTATGTGATCGCTATGCGATCACGTGATCACAATGAAAACAAAGCTTGTATGAATCAATCTGATTAATAAAAGCTTTGCCTCTGTTCCTGGAGAGCTGTGGTTGGTCCACAGCTCTCACATGAAACATGGGGCCAATCACAGCACACTGTACCATGTGAAAAGCTTGAGCCAATAACAGATCACTATTATGTTGAACTGTCATAACCGTAGCTCATTCATGACAGTTCAAAGCAAGCTTACTATGGTACTAAGGTAACATTGCATTACTCTGATGAAAGTATTTAAAAAAAAAATAGTAAAAAAAAAAAAAACATTTTTTTAAAAAATTTAGACTGTTTTTCTTTTTTTTTTAACTACTTGCATCCGCGAGCAGCGGCTCTTGACAAAGCAACACAATCTTAAGTTGCTTTCTATTTCCGGGTGTGTGTGCATATGCGTACACCCCCTGCTGCTCCTATGCTGTCCAGGGAGAGAAAAACGAACACAGCACCAAGTAAAAGCACTACATTTTACACACACACATTATATTAGCATATTTAACTCTTTGATTGCCCCTATTAACACTTTGATCACTCTGTCACTATTTCCTTAGTACAGAATATAGAATTTTTCACTAATCACTCTATTACTGCCACTAGCGACAACAGATAGCATCAGGGTCAGTTAGCGACCCTCTCAGCCAGGGTCTGCTAGCATTAGATTGCCCGCACACTATCACTCTCACGCTATAGTTTGCTGATCACTGTCAATACTAGTATAGTGTTGGTACAGATCAATATATTGATCACAAACAGAACTATGCTAGTGCCTCCTTTGTATAGTGCCCCCAAAAATGTAGTGTTAGCAGGATCAGCCCCATTTGCTGCTAGCACTAGCGTTTAGCTGTTTTTCACGGAAGATTTGTATCAATTGATTGTGGGCCAATTTATAAGCACAACAATACATTGCCCCCCACCCAAATTGAGCTCTTGCCGGTCAATTAGTATGGAAACCTATCACAGTTTCTGAATTTAAAACTTTTTTAGGCTTAACCCTCAACATGGGCATTACAAAAAAAGAATGAATTGCTGTCATATTGGTCCACAGACCTGATTCATCATATGCCCATGTTCTCTGCTGTTACATATATGCCCAACATGGACCAGCAACATACGGGTACTTCAATGCATTTTGAGTGATTATACCGGGATAATGCCTGCTGCTACAGGCATCTTCCTGGTATAATTTTTTTCATCTGGCAGTTGGCTTTCATGTAAAAACAATCCTAGCCACTAATTAGCTGCTGGATTGCTTTTACAAGCAGTGGGAAGGGACTCCCCCACCCCTCCCGCCACCTTACAAGGCTTTCTTGGACTCTCCTGTCCCCCTAGGGAACCCAAAAATGCAGCCGGCAGTTCCACTGGCTGACAATAGAGCTGAGCGGAGACTGGAATGACTCCAAACATCTCTATGGTCTAAGAGACCAGAAGCTACGAGCATTTCATCATTTCCATTTCGCCAGATATAAACAGCGCCATTTTAAAATTGGGAAAGCATCTGAACACACCAATCTTGGTGTGATCAGATGCTTTAAGGGCAGAGGAGAGATCTAGAAACTAATAGAAAAAACACCTGACACTGACTATTGTTATCACGGGGGATATTTTCATTCCCTGTGATAACAACAAAATTGATAAAAAAAAGAAAGAAAAAAAAGGTACAGTGTAAAAATAATTTAAAATAGCAAAATAAATAATTTTAAAAAATTCACCCCCACCCCCGTACTCGCACGCAAAGGCAAGCACAGGCTGTGGGGGTATGTAAACAGAGATTACACTATGCATGTGAGGTATCACGACAAATGTCAGATCAAGTGCAGTAATTATAGCACTAGAAGTCCTGTGTAAATATAAAGTGGTGACCTGTAAAGGCTTTTAAAGCACCACTTATGAATATTACAAATTTATGTAATTTGTCACAGTTGCACGGGCGTGCACAATTTTAAAGCATGTCATGTTTGGTATCCATTTACTCATCATAACATCATATTTTATATTATATCAAACAATTGGTCAATATATTGTGTTTTTGTGCATTAAAATTCTAAAAAGTGTATTTTTTCCAAATAAAATGCATTTGAAAAATTGCTGTGCAAATACTGTATGACATAACACTTTTCAACACCCACCATTTTATTCTCTAGGGCCTCTGATTTAAAAAAATGCATAATATTGGAAGTTCAAAGTAATTTTTTTAGCAAAAAACTGTTTTTTCAAGTAAACAAAAAGTGTCAGAAAAGGCTTTGAAATGGTTAGGAGAGTGGGTGATGTCTGGCATAAGCTTCTAATGTTGGCTCTGAAATGCCAGGATGGTAGAAGCCCCCCCCCCCCATACACACACACACACACACACACACACACACTCTTGATCCCTTTTTGGAAAGTAGACAATCCAAGGTATTTGTCAAAATATGTGTGGTGTCTACTTTCCAAAAAGGGGTCATTTGGGGGGGGGGGGGGGGGTTGTTTTGTACTATACTGGCATTTCAGGGCCCCGAAACTGTGAGGAAGTGATATGAGGAAATATGCCCTTTGAAAGCCTGGAGGTGGTCATTGGATTTTGAGGGCATGTATGTGGCTAGACTGAGAAAAATTATTTCATGTGTTATCCCCATACTTAGGAGAAGTAACAGAATGTGTTTTGGGGTGTTTTTCCAGATATAGCCATGGCATGCATGAGCAATATCAGTTAACTGACAACTTTGTAAAAAAAAATTGTCATTTTCCAAAAATTTGTGGCAAAAATTAAAATGTTTGATGGACTCATCATGCCTCTCAGCAAATTCCTTGGGGTGTCTAGTTTGGGGGATTTCTGTCCTGTCCTGGCATTTTAGCAGCTCAAGAACTGTGATAGGCAGTCAGAAAGTAAAAGCTGCATAAATTCTAATATATACACTATAGTTTGTAGAAGCTATAACTTTCACACAAACCCATTAACCACTTCCCGTTTGGCCACTGTTTATAAATGGCAGGACGGTGGCAGTCCAGGGGAGGGTTGCCGTTCATAAACGGCACCCGCATTTTCAATCTGTGTGCGCTCCTTGGGAGTGCGCCAGGGGCAGACTGACAACTCATGGGGCCCCCGGGCAATAGGGGATCATGGGGCCCCTGTGTCCTTGCCCAAATTCAAAAAAACCTATGAAAAAGGTACCAGGGGCATCTCATGGGGCCCCCTACTGACCTCCGGGGCCTCGGGCAGTGCCCGAGTTTCCAAATGGTCAGTCCGCCCCTGCACGCAGCACCACGATCCGGTACCCGTTGTGTCCTCCAGACACAGCGGAACACCGATCGTCATACGGGACCTCTGTGTGAGGTCCCGATCATGTGATCACTGATTGGCCAATCAGTGATCACATGAATAGTAGTAAGCAAGATGTCACTTCTGACACCATTGCTTACTACGTGTGAAATCTGTGAATGATCACAGAGGTCACATGGTACAAGGCTATTCACAACAGCTTTGTACCATGTGACAATCTGTGACCAATCACAGCTCTCACAGTATTTCTCAATGGCTGCAAGAATGCAGGCAGAGAGAAGGAGAAATTATTGCATTTATATCCTTTATGGGTGTAAAAGCAAACAGTGTAAAAAAAAAAAAAACTTCATCACCCCCCACAAGTAGTACAGTGTCACCATGGTGACACTGTACTGCTAGGGTGACAGTATGTAAAAACAAAAAAACAAAAACAAATAATAATAATAATAATATAAAAATAAAAATGTAAACACATTTTTTAAAAAATTATAATTTTTGGTTATAAACTAATTTGATTTTTTTTTTACTAAAAAAAGATAACTGAAAAAATTTTGACCAAGATTTATGATGAAATATATATTATTTATTTGCAAAATTTTATAAGAAAAACACTTTTTTCAAAACTTTTGGACTTTTTCATTTATATAGCAAAAAAATAAAAATCCCAGTGGTGAATAAATACCACCAAAATAAAGCTTTATCTGTCTCAAAAAAATGCTAAAAAATTCATATGGGTAGTGTTGCATGACCGTGCAATTGTCATTCAAAGTGTGATAGCACTGAAAGGTGATAATTGGCCTGGACAGGAAAGGGGTGAAAGTGTCCGGACTTGAAGTGGTTAATATACATGTATTGGGATTTTTTTTACCAAAGACATGTAGCAGAATACATTTTGGCCTAAAGTTATGACTAAATTTGAGTTTACTATATATTTTTTATAACCAAAATTAAAAAATATATTTTTTTTCCAAATATTCTTTTTTTTGTGTATATCACAACAAATAAAAAACCCATTGATGATAAAATACCACCAAAAGAAAGCTCTATTTGTGTGAAAAAAAAGGACATAAAGTTTGTTTGGGTACAGCATTGCATGAATAGTTACCAGTTGAAATATCACAGTGCCGAATAGCCAAAAATGGCCTGGTCAAAAAGGGGGGTAAATCTTCAGGAGGGCAAGTGGTTAATCATAGAAGAAGAAATGACGTTTCTTGTGAAGTTCTGTACACAAACCTCAAGGTTGCCATATTGCATTGAATTTTACTGAAACTAAACAAAAATTAAATGTTTAAATTGCAATATGGCTTGTGCAGACGTTGTATACGCTATATTATTTTTTTGAATTGCTATATTTTTTTTCACAAAAGTTGATTTACCCTTTAATGTCATGTCTTAATAGGCTGCTATTTGTGGCTAGAGTTCTGCTTTTTATTTTCTGTTCTTATACGTAACTTTCTGAAACAATTGTACATATACCTGTGAATTTGATTAGGTATTATTTTACATACGAAAGTTAAACCTAAATTTTGAATGTATGTATAGTAGCCCTGTCATTCATATTCACCCTTCATATGAATCAATAGGCCGTATATCAGCATCACCAAATCACATTAATGTTCTGTAGAATAAGTTCAAAAATAACCCTTGCCATAAATAAAAAAAGAATGTTATTGAGCTCATTTGCTATAATCTAAAACATAGATGAGCTAAATGACATGGCCTCTGGATTCCTGGAAAATCATTTGTGTTTCATATGTTAAGACTATAGTGTGTTTTACTGTGTAGCCAAAACATTTTTCAACATATTACCAAACATAAGATTACCTATTTTAGAATTTTTTTTTTTACTATATAAATGTAAAACATTTAAAAAGACTACAGTTTCTCTTAAAGAATGGCGCATAGTAGAAGCCCATTTTAAAACAAGTACAATGGCTCATCTTAGAGTTCCTTTAATTTATGTACTAGTTAGTTTACATGTAAATCATACACCCTTAGTTTCCCCTATTTCCTTCTATGTAGGCCCTGTTGAGCTAATGTCTTCCACTTTTCTTTATTTTATTTGAAAATTGACTGAGATTTTGGTGACAAAGGCCAAACAAGTGGAGGTTAAAGCAATAACTTCTCACAGCCCAGTAATAATGCTGTGTTTTTATAGTAAATCCATCTGTTAACTATCCCATATCCAGGATTAAAGGATTCTGTGGAAAATATAAATCATGGGAGGTTGAGAAGAATGATTTAAAGAACAGAACTCCTTATAGTGTACAAAGTTAAACACTGCCATTCTTCATTTTAGTTGTATGTGTGCTACTTAGCTTTATTGTTGTTGAAACATGCAACATAAAACCCTTGGATAGTGGACTATTAGTCGTGTGTAATGTTGTTGCTGTTATTACTTTTTTTGTCCTTTCTGATATTTCTGATATGTTTGTCATTGGCAGCAGTGGACCTTAGAGTCTTTGTAGTACTACAGCCCAAATTATAGCTTTTGGTGCAGTTACACCTTACACCAGATCTTTTTCGAAAAAAAAAATTGCTAAATGTTTGACTACATATCTGATGGTTGTGTAAAAACACTAGACTATACTTGGACACAATATTTTCTATAGAGGTAGCAGGTCTTGGTGCTCTGCATGGTAATCTATTAATCATGCACAATCATCTAATTCTGAAATATCTGAACTCTTCTTAAACAATCATTTTAAAAGATTAAATAAACATCAACATTGTTCAAACAAACACTTTATAATTGAATACATTTTTAGATTGTCCTTACTGGATATTTTCAAGACATCAGGCAATTGTAGGTGTCAATATTAGTACATATAAAAGAAAAGATTAGAAAGAGGAGAAGAAAAGAAAGAATTCAGGATAGTTTTTATGGAATTTTTTTAATGGGATTTTGTTCTGTACTATGTATTTTTGTTGTAATTTTAATGTGTTGTGTGTGAAATATTATTTTACTGATACATACAATTTAAAAAATGGTTCTATAATAAATATGACTTCTTTGTATGAATTAGACCAGCTCCTATTACTCCAGAAACAGACAAGCCCATGTCTCACCCAGGTCGTCTATATCAGTATTTTTCAACCTTTTTTGTGCAAAGGCACACTTTTTTCATGAAAAAAATCACGAGGCACACCACCATTAGAAAATGTTAAAAAAATTTATTTAAAAACTTTTTGACTTGAGGGCCGCAATGGGTTCATATATTGGACCCGGGGGCCGGACCAAGAGTAGATGAATGATGTGTATGTGTCATCCATAGTAAGTATAGTAATATTCCCCCATAGTAAGCATAGTAATTAATCCCCCATATAGTAATTCATCCCCCATAGTAATTCATCCCCCATATAGTAATTCATCCCCCATAGTAATTCATCCCCCATAGTAATTGATCCCCCATAGTAATTCATCCCCCATATAGTAATTCATCCCCCATAGTAATTCATCCCCCATAGTAATTAATCCCCCATATAGTAAATCATCCCCCATAGTAATTCATCCCCCATATAGTAATTCATCCCCCATAGTAATTAATCCCCCATATAGTAATTCATCCCCCATAGTAATTCATCCCCCATAGTAATTAATCCCCCATATAGTAATTCATCCCCCATAGTAATTAATCCCCCATATAGTAATTCATCCCCCATAGTAATTCATCCCCCATATAGTAATTCATCCCCCATAGTAATTCATCCCCCATAGTAATTCATCCCCCATATAGTAATTAATCCCCCATAGTAATTCATCCCCCATATAGTAATTCATTCCCCATAGTAATTCATCATCCCCCATAGTAATTCACCCCCCATATAGTAATTCATCCCCCCTATAGTAATTCATCCCCCCATACAGTAATTCATCCCCCATATAGTAATTCATCCCCCATAGTAATTCATCCCCCCTATAGTAATTCATCCCCATATAGTAATTCATCCCCCATAGTAATTCATCCCCCATATAGTAATTCATCCCCCATAGTAATTCATCCCCCCTATAGTAATTCATCCCCCATAGTAATTCATCCCCCATATAGTAATTCATCCCCCATAGTAATTCATCCCCCATATTAATTCATCCCCATATTAAGTCCCCAAGCCCCCCCTGTGTCAATTCACTTACCTTTGCTCCGCGCGTTCCTCTCGCTGTTCCGGTGTAGCATGAAAATCTGTCTCCTATGAGGATCTGTCCCCCTCGACGTATCTGCGCATGTGCCAGTTTCAGGCATTAGCAGCCGATCGGCGATCTCCGGCACATGCGCAGATACGTCGAGGGGGACAGATCATCCTGACAGTATCACGCTCCGCGGGCCGGATTAAAAGGTCCGCCGGGCCGTATACGGCCCGCGGGCCGTAGTTTGCCCATTGCTGTTCTAATGATTGGTCTATTTGTGAGCCGAGGCCACATGTTACGGATGAAATTGCAATTTTTCCCACGGCACACCAGACAATATCTCACGGCACACTAGTGTGCCGCGGCACAGTGGTTGAAAAACGCTGGTCTATATATCAAGACTGGTCTTCTGACCTTGCATCACCATTATTGGTTTCAACTAACTATGTGTTCTCTTCAATTTAGCAATGTATGTTTTACTTAATAGACTTTTTCTTTGGTTTGCTCATTCTCAGTTAAAGATTTGTGTAAAACATTGCCCCTTTAACAAGATCTACAGGAACACCACTGTATAAATATGAAGCACTTGTTCATATTTGTTGGAGCTAATTAGTGTAAAATTGTCTTCACATGAAAGAAGATGCATGGTGACAATTGTGACAACACCCCTAGATTTATCTCTTTTATCCAATATGGGAGCGAGAACCCAAAGATTTTTACATTGTAGCAAAAAGGAAGTTTTTAGTCCAGGCTTCCCTGGACAAAAGATAAATGTACCACCCCAATTCCAAAAAACTTATGAGGATCTATATTAAAACATTATGAAATTATTTGAAAATCTCATAAACCCATAGTTTATTCACAATAGTAAAATAGAAAACATATCAAATGTTTAAACTGAAAAAATGTACCATTTTAAAAAACAGTGTCATTTTGAAACTGATGGCAGGAACGTGTCTCAAAAAGTTGTGGCAATGCAAAAAAAAAAAAAACTGGCAAAAGTAAGTGGCACTGAAGAGCTGTAATA